AACTTGTATACTACGGAACCCTAAAACATTTTTTACCGTGTCTATGATATATATGTTTTATATTATAAATAAACACATTACTTTGAGGATGTTATCGTTCATTATCCTATTTCCAATTTGCTCTCTGCTTCAATTATGTTATTGGGCAAAGCCGGGTTGAGGAGTCAGCTATACAACATTCATATAGAGTACAACCTACATCAAACATAAAAACAAACCTTCAACGACAGTAAAAATTCAATTAACATGTCAAAGCTCACATTATTATTTTGTATTTTGCCGATCGTAAAACTGGCTAAAATACATAATCATATATTCAAATTTAAAGTTAAAAACGATTATTATTTTAAATATCAACATAATTTTAGATATATAATAAAATATGCAGAAGTGTTATAAGTAGTTCCGGTATTTGAATGTTAAATTGTGTATACTACCGTGTGTTAAAATAGTTATAATATTTGCTTCTAATAAAAATTTTAGGTTATAGCAAAAAACCCAAAATGCAGGCACAGACTTCATTATTAACATAATCTATCTCCCTGCTAATTATTTGTATTGGTAATATATACAGTGTCCTCTTCATCAATTCTTCTTTGTCAGCCGTCATCAAACCAAAACAAATTTGTTTATTCAGTCTAGGCTGTTACAGAGCACTTAAGAAAGTCTAAACACTATGCCATTATTTCGTAAATTAACGGTACAATATAATATACGGATTCGACAATCATCAGCTTTGCATTCACTTACATACTAGTACTAATTTTAATTTGTGTTGGCCTATCACTGCCAACGTATGATTTAACGCCCATAGGCATAAGGCCATCTCTAATCGCTACTTTTATATATTTACTTTATACACCCTTGTATAAATACAATTTAAGCGTATGATGAAATGTATTCAATGTGAAGGACGTTACTTTGAGAAAATATAATATCATAAGATCATACGACAAGACTTATTGAACAGCCTTTGTACATATAATTATTTTATTCATTTTTAATGAAAACTCCGACATGGATCATCGGTCACGTACTCAAGTGACGTTATAACTGACAAACATATATAATACTAATCGTCACATGGTTAAATAAACATTTTATTTGAAAATTCGTTTTATTGGAGTCGTATTGGGGTTTCAAATAGACGTAATTTCGTGTTTCCACAGTAGCTCTCGAGTTTTGAAGTGGCAAATGTGCAACTTTTGCCACTTTTATTATTATTATAACACTATGATCGCTCTATTATGAGTAATCGATTGAAATTTAGAATTAATACTTTTCAGGAATTAAATTTATCCTACTGTGTGTGTAGTGAATTTGTTAAAATAAAACCTGTACATGTAAACCCGCACTATCATTATTATTTAGATATTCATATTTTTTATTCTTTATGACAATAAGATGGTAATATGAATAATTAAGAAGATAATCTTTTGTTTGAAGGAATAATCAAAAATGTTAGGTATATAAACAAAATATTAATAATAGAGTCGTTAAAATTATTCATTAATTACATTTTGAGATAAAAAAAATAATAAATAATATTTACTTAAGTGTAATTTTATATTCTAATAGAGTAAATTGAATAAATGAGTTATGATTAGACACTATGTTTGTATAAAGCAAGACTAAATCAGATTATCCAGCTAAATTATTTCAAAGAGTTTTAAAGGTCGCCATTCTAAAAAAAAATATCATGTTTATTTCTATATTGAATATAAGACAAGAGCATATACATTGCTTTGACCAAAACATGAGCCGTTGACATAATGTTTGCCTTTCCAATGTTCATCTTAAGACCCATCCCTTTGGGAAACAATACTTAGATCTACTTCAAGATATTCGGCAGGTTTACTTTTAAACGCAATCTCAATGTCAATTTCAATCCAATCCATTGACATAAAAATTTAGACCTAATTTTTATCAAATCTTAGCTCGTACTCTTGAAATATAAACTTCATACTTACTCAGTGTTAATTAGTTCATTAAATAACCACGTAATTGGCGCTAGTGTACCAAATCAAAAGTACGCAACTTCACAATTTTAATGTCGATCGACTGCAATTCCGTTAAAAGTTAAAAGCATGCTGGTCTGCCAAGGTCTTAGTCATTAGAACTACATCATCGTCAAAGCAAAGCTTAGCTGAAGTAGTAGTGGGACACATAACGTGAAGGTCTGATGACCATTGAGGTCGTAAGGTTCTGGAATAGCGACCACATGCCGTACGGCGCTCAACAGCACCCAACCAGGAGAACCAACGATTTTATAAAACTCGCGGGAAGATGCCTGGATACGAGCAGCATAGGACCGGTCGTCGTAGAGACTTATGGGGCAGCCTATGCTCAGCAGTGGACGTCGTAAGATTGATATGATGATGAAACAACAGTCATCTAGTGAGATTTATTCTGGTAGCTTTTTCTACATTAGGTTAGGTTAGGTAAGCTTATAAAATTATAAGTGGGCATTTAATAAAGTTATTGATTTTTTTTTGTGTTATGTTACGAGTATTTTAAGAAGAACGCGCCGTAGCGTGTTTTTTTTTTTATATATGTATTTTTTTATAATGGCACGTCTTCTACGTATAAACCTTAACAGTGTTTTTAATGAAGAAGGGCTACGTTAAATACGGTTTTTTCTAGGAGCATTACCTTCATTATCAAAACGGGGGAAATGCATTTTACAGTTTTTGTGTTCCTATCTACCAGTAATATAACTTATATTTCGCTTATCGGAGAACCTGTTTTTAAAACATAAAATAATGCAGTCGAAATACATTTAATTTGCCTATTAATTAGGACATTTATTTTAGATTTCATAATATATTTAATTATGACATCTAAAATAAACCGAATTCGTATTATACATCTCACATATCACTGCAAAAGAACATAATATTTTATGAGAAATACAAACTCTTTGACGCTTTTATTGAGTAGTTTATTAATGTTAAATGTCAGAAGATGGCAGGAGCGTTCAATTTGGGTTTTAATTCTTTTAGGTTTTAACGAAAACGTGATTATTTTTAACATACTTAAAAAAAGTTCTCAGTTTCACCTGTATGTATATATGTATGTATGTATGTGCGATTTTGACGCAGTTTTCAGAAAAGTATTTTTAGTGTTATCTATTATATAAAAAAAATCAATATCACTTAAAAAAATAGAACCGACTTCAAACTTTAAAAAAAAGTGAAAAATAATACTTATCTCAAAAGCGACTTATTCAACTAAATGCAAATGAAGTCGAGCGTCTATCATTAAATTAGTAATCTACAGAAAACCTCCTTTTTCTTCAATAAGTCGCTTTTGAGTTAAGTATTATATCTCACTTTTTTAAGTTCTAAGTTTTAAGTTCTTTTTAAGTTCTAAGTTCACTTTTTTAATTTATTTGCACAATATTATTTATGATTACAACTATAAATGTAGTTTATTAAAAGTCAATCTACATTGGTAGTTTTTACTTACTTGCTTTTTCAAACCATTCAATAATTTTAAGAAATAAGTAGATATATTTCATAATTTCATTCCATACCACACTTTAGCAGCTCAAGCCACACGAACATTTTATTGAAATCTTCAAATATAACAGATTTGATGTATTTCCCTTTTTGTCAATTAAACGTTATTATAATAAGTAGATCTTTTTGATTTTTTATTTGTAATGAGCTCACTCTCCTCACCTCAATCTAGCCCTAGGACACGAAAGAAATCTAGGGTGAGACGAGCTTGTCCAGAAGGAACCTATTCAATCTTGCCTTACATTCTATATGCTATCGCAAATATGCAACTAAATACTGTGGAAAATGTTGGTAAATAAATTAATAACTTAAGTGTCTATAGTATATTATTTAATATTCTTAATATGTTCAGATGAACAAAATATTTTTTATAAATAATAATGTGTTGAGATGGTGATTAATTTGTCTACTGTGTAAATAATGCTTCCGTTTGTTCATGTGATTTGCTATAAAAGAACAGATTTAAAAAACTTTTAAAAAGTTCAAAAATATCGACTAGAATAATCTGATATAATTTTCACGTTTATGTTTATTAACAAGGATTGCACGACACAAAACAAACACAACATATACGAAAAGACGATAAGCTATAGATTAGATATTCGCAGATTCGTCATTTAATGCGTTGTTCTCAAATATGTTTTTCCATAGAACATATTCATTATTATGATTAATTTATTAAAATAAAAAATAATTTATTAAAAAACATAAATAAGTTATGAATTTTTTTACATCTTTAATATTGTTTGACGCTCAGTAAAAAAGTGCCAAATGCATGGCAATGTCTGTAAAATTTGTTAGTAAGGTATGTGTAATTCGATTTTATTAATGTAATTTATTTTTAAGAATTATCATATTTCTCCATACAAACTTTTACTGTGCCAAAATTTCATACTACGAACTCCAAAGTTTCTGCTTTACGTATTAAAACCAATGCTTAGAAAAATTTGCTCCCCGGCTTATAAGTTTTACCTACAGAGAAGAATATTATCAAATTGAATAAGAGGTTGTGATTTTAGAATATCTAGAATGGTTGACCAGTCGGTATATATTATATACTCTTTAGTTATAATTTGATATTATCCATAAAACTTGTAGAGATAAGTGTACTTTATAATTAAAAAATATTTGTCACTGTTTTATTATCCTTTGTAATCATCTCTCAATTTCGGATGGTTTAATTTTAATTAGAGGCGATATCTCTGGTTTAAGGCTACATTTTAAATACCAAGGCTTTAAACAAACGATAAAAATATTAGCCATCTTGCAAACTTCAATTATTTTAAGAATACTTATTCTGTGTTTATATGGAAAATTATAAAAAAAATATGAGCTGTTAATAAACGACACAAAATCTACAATATATTTTTAGAATTGGATTAACTAATTTATAATTCTTTAAACGTATGAATTTTATATGAGATGATCAGTATCAGTTGTTTATTTATAGGTAAAACAGTGAGTGCGAGGATCCTTGTTATTCTTCGTACATATATTTTCTATGTTAGAGTATTAATAAATTACGCGAGTGGTGAATAGTATTGGCATAGTCGCGTGTGAACTCTTGCGCAACGGGCCGATGAGCGGCCGTATCGTTACGGTCTAATTTGACATCGGGATTTAAAGAAAAATGGTAAGTTTGTAAATAATAATGTAATTTATGTAACCCCCAATTTTGACATGTTGAAGAAAGTTACTGAAATTATATAAATAAAAAACTTAAAATTAAAAGTTTCACTAAACTATTAACGCGAATGCATATACGCGATAAGTGTAAGTCTTATGTATAATTCGTTATTACCAGGACTGCTACCTGGATTTGTATTTTTTTTCCTTGAAATTAAATTAAAAAAAATAGCTTTAAAATAATTAATTGTTCTAGGATTTAATACAGTATTGTAAATATATTATAAATTGCATGTGAACCAGTCACTTTAAAAGAAAGCCTTGATTTCAAATCAATCATCAACCATTGTGTATGTAGAGCTTTTGAAATTTTAAGGTTTTTACAAAATTTTATATGAACTGTTACATTCATAGAAAACTATTTTTTTATTTTATTTTGAATCACAATATTGGGTTTTTCTTAAATTTGCGACTGCTTTATAGTTATTAAAAAGCAACACCGTGGCAACGTTAATATAAACTACCACTTGCCACTACCACTTTTAAACACTTCCGTCTTAATATATTTTCACGTTACATAAAATAGTGCTGTGAGTATTTTTTATTAATTATTTTTTAATACAACCCGCATAAAGCTACCAAAAAGTTTGCATTTCTCATTGAAATTTCAGCAGCAAATAAGATCAAAACGAATAGAGGCAGAATGCATTAACAGTTCGATAATGAAAGAAAAACAGACGGAAGGACAATTAAACAAAATTTAAATCTCTTACTATCATTTTAATAGATCGAAGATATTATGTTTTTACTTTCAAATTTAGAATTAGTGTAATATTAATTATTTAGACTCTAAGCTCTGTTTAACTAACTCAAATACATCTACTTTTAAGTATACTGATAGGAATTATAGTAGCTTCGTGGCGTAGGGGATAAAAGCTGCGGCCCGCGATGTTTCTTGTTAAGCAACTTTTGCAAGGGTCGGTTACGGGATGGATGACGAAAAAAATTTTATATCGAGCTACTTCGTGCTTCGGAAGGCACATTAAGACGTTGGTCCTGGCTGCAATTACAGTCGTTAGTACCCTCCAATTCGCATTAGGCCGGCGTGGAGACTCATGGTCCATTTTCCTTAACCATCCATAACGAAGCCCACAGCCGCTGTAGTGAGGACGTAAAAGTGCTGATGATGATGATGATAACAATTCTATATCTCCAAAAACGCAATTTCGTCTATTTTCGAAATGATAATACGATCCCAAAGAAACGGCATTTGTCGATAATCTATGGATGCAACGGAGGTAGAACTTGACAATGCCTTGCCTTTGATCAGCAGAAAATCTCAACGCATATGATTTTACCAATATTATAAGAAACATTTGAAATTTTCTGAATTGTCTTTCGAGGACAAATATGTATAATAGGCATTCAGGTGTCATGTTAATTTGTACCACTTATAGTTTAAATCCTGTCCAATTGTTCGAAAAAAGGTATAAAAAAGAATGACTATAATAGATAGTCAGTTGGGCAAACGTCCATTTAGGTTTAATGACACCTTAAAGCCTAATGAATGTCAAATTTGTATAGGTAATGACGCTTTAAACAAATGAAAATTTAAATGGACATTTGTTTGTGCAACTGACTGTTCCTCTTATAACAAACTAGGCTTCATGCGAAATTGAAATTTTTAGATACAGAATAAAAACTTTTTCAATAAAAAAGATTATTAACAAAATTGTTGGGAGAATGATTGTTAGAATGTTACTTTATTTTAAATTAGCTTTGGTGAAGCGAGTTTTACATAATGACTTTGACAGTACATTTATTTAGGGATAACCCTAGGGTAACGTTTAGCGGGATAAAAGTAACTTATAATGTCAATCTAAGCTTTGACCTATTCGAATACCAAATATCATCGGAAAGAGTAACAAACTTACGTACATTCGCAAACTTGCCCATTTATAATATTTGTAGGATTAAGCGATATACGATTTGACACCACATAACCTGCACAATCTTCTTCGATGTTCCCATGGTGGAGTTCAATGTCAACATAATACTTTCACGTGTCACCCAACTAATTTGGCATAACCGGATTAACAGGTGTTATCGTTACCAGCCAATGCCGATTATAATTCATTCGTAAATCATTTTACGCATAACGTGTTCCTTCTATTATTTTATATGTAAAAAATTAAGCATACGACAGAAGTAACTTTAGATATAATGATAATACATTTATGAATGAGCGGTGACCAAACAGAGCTGCGACCGCCAACACTCTCACCATAGAATACGACATATTAAAGAATAATATGCCGATATTTCGTTTAATTGTACTACTTTGACACATATGTTGATAGATAAATTCGATGTTGACTAAGTTGGAAACAATTTTACAAAAATACAATCCGATGCAAGATAACAGCAGAAGACTCTTTCTTACCTTACAAATCATTATTCTTCTTCCAATATACATATTACTTTAATAAATATGCAACAAAATCTTTTTTATTAATTACCGTTCATTAGTAAAAATCTTATAAATTGGTTAGAACTTTTTGACTTTACCGCGTTTATATGGATGAGGCAGGATTGTTTTGTGTATAGTTAAGTAAACACAAACAACTTATCAACATTTACCTTTACCACTCACGTTTTTTTTTATAATCTAATAAGGATCCAAACATTAATTAATTGATTTAGTATTAATAATAAGATAACATTACATTGAAAAACTCGGTGGCGCAGTAGTTAAATAATTGTTTAGTCACCCATCCTGTTACCAACCCTTGGGAAAGTTGCTTAACTTCCGCATCGCAAACCGTATACGCTACCGAATGACGCAATGTCATCGAGCACCTAGGATAGGCGACCAACAATTTCTTATTTCGAACCTTACCGTCGTTCAAAAGACTAATTAGGGCGTGCCAGTCCATGATCCATGGTCCAGACCATGGACTGGATTCTAATCCTAATCATGGGGAAGGCCTAAAGAAGGAGCATATGTAGCCGTTTTCGTTAAACTTAAAATATTCAAGAATCGCCTGAGGTGAAAATGCACTTCACTAATATCTAGGAACCACCTGACGATATAAAGCACGTCTAAAGTTATGACATGCATTATCTTGCGCTAGATATTTATGTAATATACAGGTCACAAATATGTCAAGGGAACATAATAAATGTTTACTTGGAATTAAACTAGTCTGCTTCGGCGATTCATAAGATTAGGCGTTTCCTAGTTAAACAATGCCTTATTCTAGGTTAGTAAAAATAAGTATTCTAGCGATGATGATTACTAAAATTAAATCATTTTACAAAGTCGCGAGAAAACGACTAATATTTAAAAACAATACTATATAATTACCCCATAATAGATATTAAGATTTTCATTATTATTTTTTAATCTTATGACAAAATCAAGAAAGCCTAATATAATAAATATTAGATGTTTTCCCGCGAATTCTCCCGTCTAAATTATAGTTTATGTCACCCGAGAATGAGGTATGAAATTTTTTTTAAAATAATTCCACTAGTTTCAGAGCTTATTCAATGCAAATAAACAATCAAATCTTTCCTCATTATAATATTAGAATAAACAACCGGTTTTTATTAAAAATTTTATACCTCTACATTTATTAGTAAAAATTCTCAACAAATTCCAGGTGTCACCACAATGGATATGCAATTAATAGCGTGAGATATAACAATAACCTTCCGCCATCGGAACCTGCTTTTGGCACATATTATAAATATTCAAATTTAAATTAGATGTCATTTATTTAGCCAATACTTCAACCAGTATTAGCCATTTAGTTCAATGTTATCCTAAGTAATACGTATTTAGAAGAATCCTTAACTTATTTTAAACACAGACAGGGAAACCAATAGTGCGACAGGTTTTATTTTCTTTTATAAAAAATGTATTTATTTAGCATTAATATTCATAAGAATGATTAGTCTCGATCCTCTAGCGTATACTGAACTATTTTTTAATTTATTTATTTTTCTTTTTCAAATATAAAAACCTCATTACATTTATGGTCTAATATAATAAAAATTACGATTAGGCAAACAGCATGAAACAAGAACATGTGTTTCAGTTTACTCAACACTAAAATGATTAGTTTTATTATAACTATAAACAGGCGTATATTTGAGAGTTATGTCAGCTAGATGAAGATGCTCATAAAAAAACACCTACCGTATGTTGAGTATTCCGTATTACGCAAAATAATATTTATTTTATTTTCCTGTAGTATCAAATACACGGCTAAAATATGTATAAGTAAGTAAGTACTTACAAATCCAAAGAATAATAGACTCTGCTATAAAAAAAATTGCTAATTGAAGAACTACGTTGACGAAGGTTTTATTAATGTAAATATAAATGAAAAATACCGATATCGGCGCACAGCCTGTTTGATATGACAGTAGATCTATTTTAAGTACAAAACTTATTTTAAGCTATGATCGATCATCTTGTGACTATATAATTTAGGTGTGTGAAATTTTACACTACTTCAAGTTTTTAGCTGGTTATAATAAAATATTCCATCATAATTCAGTGTAGATCGGCTTCATTAAAATTGTTGAAAACTGTAACGACTTGGATTTATTTATATAGAGAAAAAAATAATTATAGTTACAGTATAAAGAATTATAACATTATGACAAGAAATATATCGGTGTCTTCTTTTTTCAATGAAACGGGCAATGAAACGAACAAATTATTATATGAGATGATAAAAATTATATGTATCACTATCCATAGAACTCTGTATCGTTTCAATATAGTATTAATTTTGTTATACGGAACGCTATATGTTGCTGACCCCATATAATAATAGGTAGTACCACTCGGAAACGTGACAGAGGAATTGCGATATATATCGATTTCTTTTAACGATTACTTAATAATTTGTTTTTATTGTTGTCCATTCTTTCGGATGGAAAATGCTTTAGCAATTTGGATTAGCCAATTCGTTGGACCTTCAATTATAAGTTAAACCGAAGTAAATTTTTGACTATAGCAGATATCCCAGACAGTCTGACGCTAGAATTAATTAACTAGAATATCTACAAATAAAATTAAAATTGCAGACACTCCAGTTTTATTTATTTCTATAGATATTCTAGTTGATAAATTACTGTTTACTAAATACGTACTTATATGTATACACGGTACATATACCAAAATACTCTGTCTCTTTGTTCAGGCTAATCTCTTAAACGACTGGAATTTTCAGTTCACTTTCGGAACTTTCATTGGCAGATAGGTAATGTGATAGGAGTAACTTAGGCTGGTAACTACGAGCGAAGTCGCGGGCACTAATATATTATGTAAAATGTTGAATGTAGAATATATCTAATAAATTTTTTTTTATCTATTTGTTTTCAAGTACAAAAATTATGGTTTCAGATGCTGCATCGGAGGAGATTTTTCATATTACTAACACTAACATGGATCATACAAGCTCAAGGCGCTGACAAATACACAGATGAAAATAGACCTTATGAATTCGGATTTAAAATAGACGGTGAACAGCACAGGCATGAAAAGAAAGGTACCATATGCATTTGACATACGAACTCTACAGAATTTAATTTTTTAATTACTACTTTTAAAAAAAATTTACGAATCCCTCTGAAATCGATGTTTCGGATGAGATAAGTTCGCAAAAAGTATGTACGTAAGCTTCCGAGGGTTTCTTAATCGACATTGCGTGATTAGAAGACTTTATTCGATATGACGTTATTGGTACTAACTCATTATATGTTAAATTCTTTTATAGATCCTGCGCAAGATTTAAAAGTATAATAAGCTGAAAAATATAATCAGATATATTGTGAAATTCTCGGAGCTGGAACGCAGCCTATATGTATTATTGTTTAATACGTCACGATTTAAATTAACCGCACAATTATTTTTAATTTCTCCATATTGGTTTGTGCAAAAGTGATTGTAGAATAACTCTTCTACAACTTTATTCCAATGATTAACAAAGATAATTTTCAACATCTTTAGATCACAATATATCAATATAATAATGTATAATAAACTTTTGAACGGTTACATCGCGTTTGTATTTAGTTTAATTGACGTGTCGGACCCTTTACAGGTTCCGAGTTCATAAGTATAAGAATTTTGTGAACACGGTGAATAATGAATAAAACTAAATAAAAATGCGATGAAACTGTTTAAAAGTTCTTTAATTTATGAATAGTGCGCGTGAAAATATAAAAATCTAATATAATTTCAATCTCAGAATGTGAAACGAAATTTAATGGTAGTATTTATAATAAAACTTGTTTTAGCTTAATCTAAGGCAAGTCTCTTAAAATCAGTGAGTATAGTGATATTAAATATACTAACGAGCAAAAATTCCGGGGTAGCGAAAACTTTGAATACTCCTAAAATATACTTTTATTTATAACACTCGTATCTATAGTCGAGTAAAAGTAATTATTCGTATATAAGTAATAATAACTAGTGTAAATATTTTTAACTGTTAAACAAGAATTTAAATGTGGTTAGAACTGTCAAAAGCTACCATTATAAGTGAAAGTGTTTTTAACTTTTGATAGTTCTTATTTCATTTCTTGTTTACTGGTTAATATTTGCTTAAGTTACTACTTATACTTTATTAATTACTTCTACTCGAATAGTCGAGTGACTTTTCTTTTTAACAATCTTATATCTCTTCTATCTATAGAGATAAGATTATTAAAAAGAAAAGTGCATCGCATTATTTAATATTATTCTAAGTTTTCGGTGACCCGGAACTTTTGGTCTTAAGTATATTTACTATATTTTAAATAAAAACTATAACTATAGTAATAGACAACACCTTGCCCAGACAGAAAACCCTCAACGATACACGGATTATTAGATAAAAATGTAAATTTAAAAATCCACTAATGTGGTCTTTATTCAAATATCAACGGAAAACTGATAAGTTTTTATATTAACTTGTTTCTTATACTTACTTTTATTAATAATCTAAAACGTGACCAGATAGAAATTTTTGTCATATACTTATCAAACATTTAAGGGTGTAGATGTGTATTTTCTGTATTCATTAATGCTTTCAAAAATTTATGATTTTTTTGTAATTATGTTCATCTGTGTCCATATTAACTATTGCATAACAATGATCAATAAAATGAAATTGATTAAGTACCTACTAAACTATGAAATTAATAGATACAAGGCACTGCATGACTACTGAACAAAATCAATAGTTAAAAAAAAATGTCGAGTAACAGTTACAAAATTACCTGTAATATCCAATGGCATAGAATTTTCTTTTCTTCTCTTCACATTCTTTACATAGTAAAAATTAATAAACCTGTAAGTTACGTTAGAATTCAGGCTTTTATCCAAACAGTACCTATAAAGCGATTTGACAACCATTGTTATGGTTATTTATTAATTACATGCGTTATGCTTCACTTCCACTTTTGCTGATAGAATGCGCATTCGTTTGCGCGTTCTATCAGCAAAAGTGGAAGTTAAGCAACTTTCACAAGGGCCGGTGATAAGATGGGTGACCTAAAATTTATTATTTCGGAAGTCACGTTAAGCTGTTGGTCCCTCCTGCATCTGCAGTCGTTAACATTCATCAATCCGCACTGAGTCCTGTGTGGTAGGTCAAAGCCCATTCTCCCCATTCGATTCAATTTTATTACATCCATAGGGAAACACTTGTGGCATAGCATCGTGACCATTAATAGACTGGTGATCATAAATATACTTTGAATATTTCTCTCTCTCTCTCTCTCTCTCTATTGTCTCATTTCAATTTTCAATAAATGGTTTCTAGTTTTAATTAACTGTAAATTGCAATAAACTAAGTATCTTTTATTAAAAACAAATATGTTTAAAATAATGCACCGACTTTTCATTCTGTTCGTAATTTTAAATAGATGTGAATTTATAAAATGGTGTATAAACGCTCTAATTTATTAGAAATCTCAATATAAATGATTTGAATGTTTTTTTGTTTGCTTGCATTAAATTGTCTTCAAAACTACTGGACCGATTTAAAAATTCTTTCATCTACGTGATGCGTCATCTAGTCATATCACACGTGGACGATATAGGATAGAATTTACGCGGACGAAGTCGCGGATAAATATTGTGAAATTTTTTTTCGTATCTGAAAACTATGAAATGATTAAATAATTTTGTAAAATAATAATCTTAAACAATGATATATAATGAATTTCATATATTCCTAGTAACATACGTAAATTCGAATTATGTTGTAGTCTGTGAAGGTCAATGACATCATTGTACTAATGATGATTTACATGACATTCGGTTAATATCTGCAGATGCTTGATTTGGCATTTTTTCTTAAATATTAGTAGCTATTAAATAAATATTGATTGCGTCACGTTAAGAGGTGCCCACTAACACACTTCCTATAATTGATTTCAATAACAACAAAGTTTTCAACACGTATAACGAACTTTACCTTGTTTTAATTAGGAACTCATCTAATCCATGGTCATTTAGTGAACAAAACTTTTTTTAAACATTTATTTATCATTATTATACGCTTGATATTTTAATAAGTATAAGTATATACGAATGATTTCTATAAATCAATTTAGAGATATCTTCGATCGTCACTCACACGAGATATGATAAATTAAATCTTTAAAATTGTTTTTTTTTTCTTTTAAGTAAGCTAAAGATTTAACTTACTTGAGCAAAGGAAAGCTAATAAATAAGGAACCACTGAAGAATTACAAAACCTACTTAATTGTCATTAATATCGACAGTCTTATAATTTTGAATAACTTAATCTATTCAAGATATATTGTAAAAATATCTTAGATAAACTCTAGGTTATGCAGATTTCCTGGTTCGGTATAACAAATATATTACTTACCTATCACAATTAAAAATAATCCTTAATATACCAATGTGTAAAACATGGTAACATTAGCATATTAAAATGTTTGTAGCCAATGCTGTATAATATGTATTATGTTAACTTAGAGTGGATATTCTGGCCACTGACAACATTTTGTTAGCTCTCATGCTAAGAAAATAGAATTTGAACCTTATTTTTACCTCACAGATGAAAACGGAATCATCATGGGAGAATTCGGATTCATCACCGCAGACGGTGTTTACCACGTAACTGTATACGCTACTGATGAAAATGGAAATTTCAAAATATTATCCATGAAAAATATAAGAGTAAAACCATGTAAGTTATCACATTTTCTTTTATTTAACAACTTTATATCATGAAGACTATTTAAAATATTTCTATCTGTGATAAATTAAAAAAAAATGAATTTGTATAGTAAGTAAGTAAATTAATCACAAACAGTTGATATGATTATATTTTTTTCTCAACTACGATGATAGAAAACACACCTAAGTAATTAACTCTACAAACTGCTAAACGACTGGTTTATTTATATTTACTTCACTATATGTTTCAGATCCATCAGGGCCTGAAAGAACTGGACATTCACTTCCTTTCCCACCGTCTCAAAACCTGCCGCAAACACAAGGACCCATATCTCAAAAGCCACTGGCAGCAGTATCTGGTCCATCACAGGCAGCACCAACAAAAACTTGCTCTTCTTGCAGCATTCCAACAACCACCACAAGAAAACCAGTACTGACAGATATAGCTGTGGTTTCACATGATCAAGTCAATCAAGGTTTCAATGGAGCAGTAAATCATCAACACAATCAAGATTATCAACCAAATTACCCCGTAGAAAATTACCCTCAAAACAATCAAGGTCAAAACTACCCCCATCAAGGAACTGGACCGTACTATCCTCATGGAGAGCCTCTAGCAAATTCAGGTGTTGGATTGGACAGTCAACAACAAACTAAAGAAGGACCAACTTATTCACATCAAGGCGCAGAATATGATCAAAATAACCCGCCTCATAATGAAGAAGCTTCACAATACCCAGAACAAGCTGGTCCAACAGGAGCACAACAACCAAGTCAAACGTTCCAAGCACCTTTCGGAAGTTCTGGTGGGGAACGAAACCCTAAACAATTTATTGATTATCCACAAGGAACAGTAGGAAACCAAGTACCAGGTGCCCAAGGAAATCAAGGCAATAACGGACAATTCGGCTTCGGTGGACAATTAGGACCGGTTGGGCAGTTTGGACCAGACGGAGCACAAGATGGTAACAGACAATCTGGAGGCGGATTTAATAATAACAATGAGCAATTTGGACCAGGAATAACAGGTGGTGAAAACGGACAAATCAGACCCGGCGGATCACAAGTACCCAATAAACCTTTACTCGTATCCGCACAAATGCAAATTGTAGATAAAAATACAGATATTTATCAGAAAAATCCCGGAGAAAAAGATGGTTTACCTAATGGCTTAACCAAAAACGATATGCAACAATTACTTTATACCTTCAATTATACAGTAGGATTTCACGCGCATTTCGAAGAAGGATATACAAATGGAGCTAAACAAGGTTACTACTATGTAACTGGCCGTAATGGTGTAAGAACCAGAGTAGATTATGTGGCCGATGAAAAAGGATTCCGTCCTAAAATTACACAAGAAGTACTTGATTTGCTTTCGGAAGATGTTCCAAAACCTGAAACTGAAAGAGACGAGAAATACGGTCTTAAAGGTTATGAATTCAAATGGCTTTACTATCCTATTGAATCTAACTCATGATATTAAATAACATTATAAATATGTTACAAAAGTATGTAATAGTAACTTTATTAAGATTAAATTTTTGTTAGCATAATTTTAGAATATATTGTCTTTAAAAAGTATTACTATTAGTATATTAAGTTCTACTTTTTTATTTCTAAACTGCCCAATGTACTGCCATTTAATAAACATTATACGTTATATTTTGTATTTTTTTTTTAAACAAATGTATTTCAGTCATTGTAAATTTTCTCGTTAAGAAATATCATACTTTAACTATGAATATGAGTCAATTGCGCATGACTTATGTACAGAGATGTACAGACTTTAAAACATGTTGCAATTTTTTATCATTGATATATAATAAAATTTCTGTCTTAGTTCTATGGAAAACGCATTATAAATGTACCATTTTATCGAAAACGTTTATCGAACCACTTGAATCCGTTTCATAGTACCTATCCATCTTTCAAGTTCCTAATTTGAATATGTCAGGTATTCAAACAAGTTGTACGTAAATCTTATCGTTAAGATCTTCCATTGTCTGAATGTTGATTACCGATCCACGAACGTAGCATACCTCGGGAAAGACCTATATATATATAAGGTAATTATATAAAATTGATGAATACCAGGAAATCGTAGACCTTTTTGGAGATTACCAAGCTAAAATAATTACCATGAGTGTGGTGATGAATTTTAATTAATCCATAGTCTCTGTGACTACACATCAGTAATTCTTGATATAGGTACTCAACGACATCTGTATTATATTCACGATATTAGCTTATAAGTTTCGATACATGCTACGCCGAAAACATTTTTTTGTGATGGTTAAATGAGAGAAGCTTCATAGATGGCGTTATATGCACAGCAATTATATTATTTTCTCTCGAGAAAAAAGAACAAACAAACAAAATATACACAGCACGTAGCAATAAACATTGCATTCCATATGAATTTTCAAAAAGCTTGTATTTGGACATGGGGATTGTAGAGTTATGTCCATTACTTAAATGTCTTGCTTTCCATAGTTCTCGAGCTTTTCACTGCTTCATAATGTGAAACAAACTGGTTTTGGTATTTGTCGTAAGATGGCGTATAAAAGAAAAGAATTAATTTCTTATATTTTCACGCACACTATCCAAAAATGAAACAACTTTTAAACGGTTTCATTGCATTTGTATTTAGTTTTATTGACGTTTTGGACCCGATACGGGTGGACACATAATACTAAGGTGTTGATTGTCTTTTTAATTAAGAGTATAGCAATTTTCAAATTAATACTATTGGACACATTCACACTACCAATAATTTTATATTTTATGGCAACTTTTATGTTTATTAAATTAAATTATTTAAAAATATATTTGACTTATTTATTTACGCCTGACTACCGTAATCTTAACCGTAATTTTTGTATTGTGAATGTGTCCAATAGTACCTATTGGTTTGAAGGTAGCTATACTCTTACTCTGCTTACACAAAAAAATAGTAGATTTTCATACAAAGAACTGTATGAAAATCTACTATTGAAAATTCCCCTTGGGAAGATTTAATTGGTAAAATTTGAATGGGCCCCGACTGTAAGTCGTTCTGTTTCTTAACAGAATTCTAAACTACTGGGCTTATTTCTTTCTTTTTAGTTTTTATTTAAGTTAATTTTATCATGTATTTTTTTAAATTCGTTATAACGTGTTATAACGCGTATCGTGGGGATTATTAAGTAACTTGCGGTGGTCTAAACTACTGATGATTAGTCCCTCTAGAGATCTTACCGGGCTCAAGCTACATATGCTTTATTTTTTTTACAAAATTATTTGTTCTTCATGCTATTTCGCAGTTTTTCTTTTTTTGTTTGTATATCGTTTATACTTTAAATAAAAACTTAAATCAATAAGTAAGAAAATTAGCGAGAATGATTGTTTTGTTAAACAACTTTTAATTAAAAATGACAAAAAGAACCTAAGATGATTTCAAAATACCTATTAAACGACACCCCACTTGACATAGTTCATCGATTTTTTTTCATTTTGTCAATATGGCGTCTGGTTGTCGCTGTGGTGAATTTTGATTACTGTCTTTAGTGACACTCGCAAGGTTAAGACGAATTGATTGACGTAAGAATCATCGAAATCGGCCTACGCATTTGGTTTCTAGAACACCACATAGAAACATACATACATACATAGACTGATAAAAACATAACCCTCCTTTGCGTCGCGCAGTCGGGTAAAAACTTCTTATTAAATTAATATTATTATAATACCGAGTCGCACAAACGTTAATTCAAAATTATTATTAATTTAAGGTGACATTATCGATGTAAAATCTCAAATTTAGAACATTAATCGTCAATTGCACAAACTTCCATTAAGGTTTAATGACGCCTTTAAGCACTATGAATATCATATCAAATTTGTACGGGTAATGTCGTAACAAACTAATGAAAATGTTAATGGAAATTTGTGCAACTGGTCGTATATAGAGTTTAAAATAACCTTTAGACCTTAAGGGACATTGGTGCGAGTGGCTGTAAATATCGCCTTTAAACCTTAATGAATGTTAGTGCAACTAGGTGTTAATGTCGCCCAAGATTCAAACATTTATTTGTTACGAAATGATTCACTTCAAATTGGATGAAAAAAAAAGGAATTTTTCATTCCTTTAAACGTACCTACCATAATTTATAAACTGAAAGTTACTATTAAAAATATATATATAATGAAAATATATGATACATGTACATAATCGGGTATGAACAATCATGTTTTGCTACATAATAAGGTATTTAAAAATAAAACTGCAGTTATGTCTAGCCTTGCCTGCCCCGCACCGCGTGTCGCTGTGTGCATTTTACATTTCTTATATTTTTATGGGATCATATATAATATTTAGTATAGAACTGATTCCATAAGCCTTGTTGCGAATATCATGGAGATGTATGAAAACCTCGATATGAGATGGTACTGTATTGAGGCTGTCTGCGTTTTATATGTATTAGGTGTGTTTAAATTTGAAATATTATTTACGCTCTATTGATATTCCTAGATCCCGAAATGTTTCAAAGCTAAAAAGGACTGTATTTACGATTGTCAACGCAGAACTAACTTTTAAATATAAAAATTATTAAAACATCGAAATATACAAACTTGCACTTTACATCACATGGAAAAGTACTGAGCCTGTCAACTATTCCCACGCATCACATTGGGTTATAACAGGGCGAGCTAGATATAATCTTATAACTGCAGCACAAACGGCATTTATATTTAAGCTGGGCGTAAAGGTGAAGTCCCCGTATTTTTTTGCGTTGGACATTGCGAAACAATTATTTTTATTAATAACTCACAATCTATTGAAATCAGATATTTTAGAAGTACCGCATCTTTGTGCAGGACGTCTACAATACTCTTAGCTATAAAGTGACTAACAATTGTCTTTAGAAAAATGGTACATTGGCAACTGAAAAAAATAGCAACAAGAATGGGTAAAACAGCGAGCAACAATAAGGGGATTATGATTTTTTTATCGAGAAAATTTATAACTTCATGTTTTGGCTGAGAGAGTACCCTTAGAAAATTATATAGTTTCTCATATTCGAATTAAATAGTGACCCACTTCGTGGACCCGGTGCGGATTTGTAAGTGTAAGCCACCTCAGAAGCAGCGGTCCAACGGCTTAATGTTATATACCTATATAACGTGCCGTCCAAAACTCGAGATAATAAATTTTTGGTCGCCCATCCTATGACCGGCCCTTATGAAAGTTGCTTAATTTCTGTTTCGCAGACCGAATGAACTAACCATTGCGCCATCAAGCTCTTCTAAATTATATAATATAATATAATATAATTATTTTGTTTGTAAATTTTTTTAACCTACATATTATATGATTCCATATCTCAAAAAGAAAAATAAGTTTAAACAAAAAAAAATTCAGGAAAGCTTAGAAAAGTAAAAAATAATACACCTTCAGACGAGGAGGTTTTTTGTAAGTTATCTTACTTCATTATAAATTTCTTGAATACATTTATTTATTACAAACTTCTACCATTATATTTAGGTACTAAATGGTTAATCAGCTCATACTGTCATCAAGAACCATCGCTGGCACAATCCAATATATTTTCTGTTGTGACCTACATCTGCATTCACATAAAAATCTGCATATTGAAGCTCCACAGTTACAGATACGGATACGAATGTATCTTTGAAAAAAAAAAACAACATAAGTAATAAAAGAAACGTGAGTGAAATTTGATATTTAGAATTCTTGGCCGTGGCGTCCTGTGGGCGAAGATGTACTGAGGATGGAACTGGTGTTCTTGTGTTTAATGAGGCTTCTAATCTTCTAATTTTGGCTGCAATATCGACAATTTATTGCTCGGCCAGAAAAGATTATATCAATATTGGCCATACCAATAATGTTTGGCTTTATTTCATAATACACAACCTGGTTGGCATTTCTAGCAATATTACCAGACCATTGTGTTGGAGCAAAATGCTGAAAAATATTTCCCATTAAAAATGAAAAAAGTACATTTATTGATCACATAGGTAGATACCAATAATGATTTAACCTAAAGATAATAAAAATGGTGGCCAATAAGGCTCTACCTCAGCATAAGCAATACCAGTGTATTTAGAAGCCCTTTACAAAATATTGAAGTACTATACAAGTAACCTGATTGACACACTTTATCTATAGGACAACGTAACTCTAAACCTTTACTATATTATATATTATAATATTAGTTTCTTTATTTTCTCACCGTTAAACTAAACGAACCTTAACCATCCAAAATAATATGATTTAGAATTATTACCTTGAAAAACAACATTGCTAAAAATTGTTAGATATCATTCTCAAGGGATAATTATGTAAGTATCAAACAGTAACCTCTGACACAAAAGATTCTACTAAAGATTCGTGACCCTCAGCGAGATAATACAATGCTCTTTACAGAAAAACAATATTGCATAAACGTAGTATTCATGAATGAATTTTATTGCAATCAAAGATACTATCTCCGCGTGGTTCTGGCGGGAAACCCCTACCAGTTGGTATTGGACCGGCGCGTGCGCAACACGCGTCTGTTACTCAGGTCTCCAGCCCGATGCGATCGCGACGTTTTGTCTCCTAGTCCTTTTGTTTTCAAACAATTTGTTTGGATATACCTAGTATTGAGGTCACACCTC